CGGCCGGGCTGCGGCGCGGGGGCGCAGGGGCGCGGGGGCCGGGGCCAAGTCCGCGGGGGCCGTGGAGGAGCGCGGCGCCGAGCCCCGCCTGGTGCTGAGAACCATCTTGTTTTCCACGCAGATCCGAAGGGGCAGCACGCGCCCCCGGGAGCGCCCCCGCCTCCTGCCTGGGGCCGCCGCGGGCTCGCTGAGCTGTCTTCTCCCTCCGGCCGGCAGGCTGGGCGCACAGGGGCGCGGGCCCCCGCCCGGCGCGCAGCGGCACCATGGGCACGGTGCTGTCCCTGTCCCCCAGCTACCGGAAGGCCACGCTGTTTGAGGATGGCGCGGCCACGGTGGGCCACTACACGGCCGTGCAGAACAGCAAGAACGCCAAGGACAAGAACCTGAAGCGGCACTCCATCATCTCCGTGCTGCCTTGGAAGAGGATCGTGGCCGTGTCGGCCAAGAAGAAGAACTCCAAGAAGGTGCAGCCGAACAGCAGCTACCAGAACAACATCACGCACCTCAACAATGAGAACCTGAAGAAGTCGCTGTCGTGCGCCAACCTGTCCACGTTCGCCCAGCCCCCACCGGCCCAGCCGCCCGCACCCCCTGCCAGCCAGCTCTCGGGCTCCCAGACCGGGGTCTCCTCCTCGGTCAAGAAGGCCCCGCATCCTGCTCTCACCTCCGCAGGGACGCCCAAACGTGTCATCGTCCAGGCGTCCACCAGCGAGCTGCTGCGTTGCCTGGGCGAGTTTCTCTGCCGCCGGTGCTACCGCCTGAAGCACCTGTCCCCCACGGACCCTGTGCTCTGGCTGCGCAGCGTGGACCGCTCGCTGCTTCTGCAGGGCTGGCAGGACCAGGGCTTCATCACGCCGGCCAACGTGGTCTTCCTCTACATGCTCTGCAGGGACGTCATCTCCTCCGAGGTGGGCTCGGACCACGAGCTCCAGGCCATCCTGCTGACCTGCCTGTACCTCTCCTACTCCTACATGGGCAACGAGATCTCCTACCCGCTCAAGCCCTTCCTGGTGGAGAGCTGCAAGGAGGCCTTTTGGGACCGCTGCCTCTCCGTCATCAACCTCATGAGCTCCAAGATGCTGCAGATCAACGCCGACCCACACTACTTCACACAGGTGTTCTCCGACCTGAAGAATGAGAGCGGTCAGGAGGACAAGAAGCGGCTCCTCCTCGGGCTCGATCGGTGAGCCCTGTAGCCCGCATCCTGGCTCAAGGATTCAATTCATTTTTAAAAATTTATTATTAAGCAAATCAGATTTTGTGTACAGTATGTGTCTAGCAAAGCCACCGAGGGCCTGTCCCTTCCCACCTTCTCTCCTTGGGGTTTTCCTCAGCCCTGCTGAGAACTCTGGGCGCTTTTGAACTCCTGAACCTTGTGCAAAACCCAGAAGATGTATCCAGAGCCACCCAGGCCACCGACCTCTCAACTTTGGGGAATTCAAAGGACTGACCTGCCTCTGCCACCTGTGCCCTTGCTGGACCAGGGCAGGTGAGGCTGCCCGCTGCGTCTGGCATGGGAGCCGGAGGTGGGGGGGGGGGGCCCTCTGGCCAGTTGGCCCAGGGAGCAGTTGGCATTTCCGGTTGGAGGTCCTTTTCTGGCTCCTGTTTTGGGTCGTCCATTCTCCCAGAGGCTTGTGGAGCTCGCCGCCCTGACCGAGCCACGAGTGGGGTTGTGAAGGCCGGATACCTGCCACCCGGGGACCACTCTTCAATCATGGAGAAGCCGGCCTGGTACAAAGATTGCGTCCTGTCGTTTGGCCGCACACGACCCTGGTTTGCTCTTTTTTCTTTTTTAGGGAGAAGGGCTTTCCTTTAGCGAAGACACAGAACTTGCCCCCTGGCCACCCCTCGTCCCCTGCTCCCAGCCATGTTGGTGGTGTTGGTCAATGAGCTGGTTTGACTCATGAAGTTCTTTGATTTGGGGTCCTAGCTAAAGGAGTGGGGTGGAGCTAGGGACAGTTCCTTTCCTGGGGGAATTTTTCATTTGACTAATGCAGCTTACTCACCCTGTGGCGGAGGCCAGGGCAGCTGCAGGTGCCCATTACCAACAGCCTGCTTTCCAGGCGGGTGGGGGAGTCGTGCCCGAGACCAGCCAGTGCCCACCTAAGGGCTAAGGCCTCTTGCCGGTGCATGTGACATTTTGGTCCACAGAGCTGGGGTGAGGGGGTGATGTCAGGGATCAGGGTGATGTGGTAGTGATTGCAACCCCCACCCCCTTCCCCACCCCTGCTCATTTAAAGCTGTTTCCAAACAGTTCAGTTTCTTCTGAAGACGAAGCCTTGCCCTGCAAGGCCCGAGGAGACCACTGGATCTTGGAGACAATTCCAAGACGGGAGTAACGCTCCTGCTTGCTTCCGAAGCCTGCTGATTCTGCGCCTGATCATTTGCAGCTGCTGCTTGGGGTTTCCGCCTCACCCTAGCGGCTGTGAGAACACGCAATGTGTGCTTAATCAGTTTCCTTTCTGATTCTCCCAGATTTGGTGGCTTGGGACTTGGGAGAGGAGCGGGAGAAGGGAGCCAGTCTTCCTCCATGGCCGGGCACTCCGGCTTTGGGGAACAAAGAGCAACGTGAAGCCGCTCTGGAGACTTCTCTCTTCCAGTCCCAGTCCCCCCCCCCCCACCGGGGGAGCGCTGGCATGGGGGGGCCGGGGGAAGGCAGAGGGTCCTTTGACACAGGATTAGGTTCCAGGTGGCTGCTGGTTTCGGCACAAACACTACTGAAATTGACGCTTAACAAGAGAAAGCTGTGAAACTGAGGCCCCGGTTTAAGAGGAGCGTTCGGTTCCCAGACCAGAGGAGGAGGGCCTGCCCCGTGCTGGGAGGGCGTTTGCTCGGCTGCGCCTCAAGGCCCACGGAGCCCTCCCGGGGCCTGCCAGATAACCTGCCGTGGAGCTGGACGGAACCTGCGGCTGCCCGCACTGCTGGCGCAGACCAGCCGCTGCCCGGGCGGATCCGTCACACGGCCTGTCTGTTCAGATCCCGCCGCCACGTGCGACCTGAGGTAGGAGGCCCTCGGGGGCGGCAGGCCCTGGCGGCTTGGAAAAGGGAGGTTCGGGTGCCGAGGCTCAAGAGGAGGGGGCGCGTGTCCGTAGTCCACTCGTTGGGCGGCTGAACTTGGCCTGAAACTGTGCAGTTAAGTTGCATCCCCAGGATTCCGGTTTTGTGCGTTTCCTTCTCTTTCTCCGTATTTATTTTTTTATTTCTTGGAGGAGGTGCAAATTTCAGGAGTGGTCGGGGACTTAAGGAAATAAGTCTGTGGTCCGCGCCA